AGAGGCTAGGATTTGGGACTGTTCAGTTTTTTGTTAATGATGGTTGATAAAGAGAATTAGATGGCATTCGAAAGGCATTTTTGACTTTTCAAATGTCATTTAACGGCTGAATAACGGACTGGTTAATGGCAAGTACTGGATTGTCACATTTTAAAAGTTTGGATATTGAATTATCGCATTTTAAAGTTAATTTTGAGACCAAATTGTCACTCAAGCCAAAATACAGGGTACTTACTGATTAGGAAGTGTATATATATATACTTCTAATTGAGTAAGCCTTGAATGCTCTACCTTGTGTCACTCGGTCATTGGCTCAAAAATGCAAAAATGTTCCATTTTTATTTTCTTCATATAAAGGATGATATATAAGTTAATATTATATAGTATTTATCATATATAAAATATTTAATTTTGACAATTCCATCAGCCCATCAATTTTACATAGAACAGATAATGAGTGGCAAACACAATACACTCGACTGGATGAATCATGATTTGCTCAATTAGAACACCTGATGAATCACCAATCAAAACGGGAAAAATATTCATTAAAAAATCTTCTAGGATAATGTTAGTATCGACCAGAATTTCAAGCACAATTCGACTGGATGGGCCTTACTGGTTCCTTTTTGTCTAGTCTCGCTTTTGGGCCGAATATTATGGGGTGGGCTACATGATTTTTATTTCTCCATTACTTTTATATAATGTTATATCCTTTGTTATATTATGAGCACTAAAATCATTTGGACCTGTGTCCTTTTTGGTATGCCTCTAACTGGAAAAAAAAAAAAAATGCTCCGTCGTGGAAGTACGTATTTTCACTTTTTTATGATGGATGACTCAGCCACACCTCTTGTTTTGTTGAAAATTTTTGAATGTTAAAAAAGAGGGTGAATTAGCTAGAGACAAAAACATACACACCTGGCTGAATTACCTATCATTGTTGGATACGCCAGTGTTCAATACAACTGGGTCCTAGATGGGGCCCATAGTGAGCACTGGTGTGTTCAACCATGATAGGTAATTCAGCCGGGTGTGTATAATTTTGTCTCCAACTCATCCAAGCATGTATTTACAGAATGGAGCTAAATAGAGCACCCCTTAACCCTTCCAACTTGTAACCAATCACCTTTTCTTACGAGTGCTTTAGGTGGTCTTCTATGCATTTGACCAGACCATTAAGTCTCCTTTCTCTCAATGCCATCTCCATGCAGCATTTGCAGCCGAACCAATGGAATTCATCAAATTAATGCCCTCCTTTCTATAATTGTTTTTCGAAAATTTAGTTTTCCCTTTCTCTTTCTCTGCCAGACTTGCACAACCCCATGGAGCTCTCTTCCTTCCCTCTCACTTCTTTGTCCAATTCTTGCTCCTATGAAAGTAAGAGTATATCGTCCCAACAGATTGACGAGGTTTCCCAGATCTATGGATCATATATCCCTTCAAATGAACCACAATGAAGATGAACATTAGTTCTGATGAAGGGTGATTTGGCACGACCTAGTAAGAAGGGGACACGTAGACGCAATCTGCTCGAGGGGTGACAACTCAGCCAAACGAACCCGGCCCACAACATTCGAAGCTCGGATGTTCAGCCACCTCGGCCCAAAAACCACCTCATCGTAGAGACACATCGACACCAAATCCGGTTCGGGACTAAAGAATCGAAGTACCATTCGGAGCTAAAGAGCTAAAATGCCACATAATCGACTCGAAAGGCCTCCCCAGCGGACCCCAAATTTCTCGGATCATGACGAGACTCATCCTAGCTCCGCCTAAATCAGAGGTAGACGATAAACCTTATCAACACATTGCTCTCCTTCAAAAATGGAACAGATCTTATCCGCACAGACCGAAGCTCTTTCGTAAGGTCCACGACTACTCCATTATATAAGGACACAAAACCCCAAGGCAAAGGTACGCATAATTATTTTACTCACTAGCATCCAAGCACTCAAGTATTCAGCTTGCATCCACAGTATAGTACTGACTTAAGCATCAGAGCGACCTCGCCGGGTTAACTACCCCGGGTTCTCTGATCTACTATTTTGCAGATTGATCCAGCTCGCCGCGCAACTGGAGTTCAGATCGTCTTCCAGCTATGAGTATCTAAATCGTGCACCATCAAGCTCCACATACTGAACAACATCAACATGAGAATTGAGACCTAGAGACCTAAATGTAATAAGAAAATAATGATCTCAATGTCCACTGATTCCAATTTTTTATCAGCCAAAATGTGGTTAACAAGATTTGAACCTTTGACCTATCCACTATGTTTCCAAATCCAAATGGGATAGAAAATAAAAAGCATCACATCAACGATGAAATCAAATGTGTAATCTTTGTGCCTTGATTTCTTTGTGGCAACCCATTTCATGAATCTGCTTCAAATTAATTTGAAAATAAATCCGAAGGTAAAATTTCATAGTGGTTTGTAGTAAAAGCGTAGGGCTTCGGCCGTACAGCGGTACGAACCCAATCCATATTCACCTTGTAGGTCCGAACCAAATATGAAGAGTTTGTATTCCGGGGGTTTTCTCTCTTGTGTACTTAGTCTGTCTTGTGAGAGAAGAGTGAGACATTTAGTGTATTTGGGGTTTAGGGTTTTCTATGAATAAGGTTGTGAGTGCACAATTCTGTCTTTCTTTTCCATTGCTGTCTACATAGTGAATTTCTGCTCCTCCTTCACTTGTGGGCGTAGACTATAAGCTGAACCACATAAATCTGTACGTTCTCTTTGTTTGCTTCTCTTTGTCTTTGTTTTTCTTTCATTTTGGGTGCCATTCAAATCTGTTTTTCTTGGGTTTTTTGCAACAAAAAGTTCTAGCTAAAACAACATAGGTTCAATTCCTCGTGATTTAATCCCTTACCATGACATTTTGGAGGGGTTCGGATATGCCGATGGTTAATGAGAGCTGAAGGGTTGTGAGGTTACTAAGATTTCAACTAAATTTTGATCGATAAGTTGAAGGCAATTTCCTTTTCTTTGATCCACAGTCTGTCTAAAGCCTCTATTAGATTTGCTTTAATCAACACTCCGGATCTGCTCATGGTTAATGAGAAGTTTTAGTGAACCTCTCTCTTCTCCAGATCCACAGTCTGTATTAATTTCAAACATTGATACATCTCTTTCATCCCAAATGAATTATAATCTTCTCCAGTCCCCAGATACAATCTCACCTGATGCTCCAATTGAGGGAAGCAGAGCCCATTTCTTATTTCTTTTCTCCCATACCACACTTAACCTTCTATTACCACTTGTCTATTTCTTTCCTACAACGGAATGACGTTTGGATTAGCTCTATTCATGGCATCCTTTACCAATGATCCCTTTAAGGTCTCCACTCAACCCTCTCACATTCCATGACAAGATTGTGAGTAGGGGTGTCAATGGACTGGTTTTGGGTTGAACTCCACCTAAATCAAAATCAATTTAGACGGATTGGATGGACCAATAAACATATTGGATTGAACCCAATCCATCCATAATGAATTTATATTGGATTGAGCCAATATCTAGTCCATTGGTAGAAGATAAAAACACAGGTGTCAATGGACCAGGTTTGAGTTGGAACCAATCTAAATTAACATGAATTTGAGCAAATTGAACAGTCCAAACATTAAACTGGACCGGTCCAAAATGGTCCAAAAATTTCATTGGACTGGATTGGATCAGGTCCATTTGTAATGAACTTGCATTGGACTGGATCAGATTGGACCAAATCCAGTCCAATTGACACCCCTAATTGTGAGGAATTTCTAAATCTTCTTCCCACTTTTTCCTTCCTAGCTACCATTCCTTGATGGCTTAGACGTTTACATCACAAAGTCCATAATAGAGTTTTCTTAGTTTCCTCTCCCTTTTCTTAGAAACTGATCGAAGACCCTCTCTTCAGATACTCCAGAAATTCCTCCATACCCTATTGAACAACCTCCTTGCCAACTCAGTAATTACCCAAGTCGTCAACCATTGTGTTATGTACAGCATAATTCATCACCCAACACTTCCTCCCTAACTGGGCTATGAATATTAATTACCATTTCTTCTTACAAAGTACGGTTCAAGATGCCACCCAGTGAGACAGATTGAGTCTGGACCCTACAAAAACCACTAAACCAGGTTGCAGAGCACTAGGAAGAATGTAATGTACACAAAAGGCCGTTATCCAAAGTTGTCCCAGAAATCTGGGCCTTGGGAGGGGACCAACGGCTGGACTGGATGATATGGACCTAAAATTTGGCATGTTTTAGCAAAAAGTGGGCTTGGATACAGAAAAAGCATGAGAAGAAAAGTCAGAAACAAAAGATGAATTGGAGTTACCAGAGATTAGCATCTGTGGGTCGAAAGAGGCATAGAGACAGCGGTGATGCCTCTGAAACTTTGCTTAAGAAACTCCTGAAGTTTCTTCGAGGTGATGCTCTTATCCCGTTTCTAAAATGCGATATCTGCACAAGTTCTACTTCTTTTGAGAGTTTCAGTAACAAAAGTTCTGTAAATGAAATCACAGATGCCATTGGATTTATGACAGCCCAATATCTACGTAGAAAAGTAATTGATTTAAATGAAAGTCGAGGGAAAATCTTAAGTCTTCATTTTCTTAAAAATACGCTGTTCTAAGAAGTAAGAAGCAAAAGCTTTAGACAAACATACGAGTTTTTCTTTTAATGTTGAATCACATGTTCTAAAACTTGGAAGGTAATGTCCGTCACAACTCACAAATACCAATATGAATTGTGAAGCTTTTAAAAACTCACTCAAGATGGATTGAGACCGAACTTTTCAGATCTGTTTGTTTCATGGTAAAAAGAGAAGAAGATTTTCAGAAATATTCCTATCCTTTTTATGGTGAAAGCTTTGTTTTTTTCACTCCCTTCTACACAGAAACAAAACAAACTCAGCCTTAGTTTCAAGGATAGGGATGCAAATAGAAAAACTAGAGGGGAGAATATGCCAGTGCATACCCAGAGAGAATGAAACTGACTGCATAACAACAAAGTTATCACAAAACGGGTCAAACCCTTACTGTATAGTTTCAAACTTTCAATAATCGTATTGTTTCAATTGGAGGAATCTAAAGAGATGGGTGAACTCTCGTCAAATACCCCCCCCCCCCAAGTGAAAGAATAAAAACAACCTTAACGAGAGATCCCATATCTAAGACCTACATGGACAACAGTTAATGGATTGTGATCTGAAAGACGCATAGATTACAGACAAATATAACATCAGGAAGCAGGGAAAGAATAATCAGAGACCTAACATATGATACAACACCATTAAGAAAAGTAAAGAACAAAGAAAGAGAAAAAAAATCGATTTCAAATGCCCTTCCAGTGGTCTGGAAGTTTCCATTTCCTGTGCCAGTAAATTGATACTCTTGACCACAATGGAAACCCAAAATTGTACTCTAGTGGCTGGTCAGCTGCTCCACCCACAGCCAAAGGCAACCAAACATACCTTGACTCCCTCAAATCAGCAGAGCTCCACCGGTCAGCCATGAAAATAAATGAACCGGGAAGCCCCGGTAGTGGCAACACAAAAGTGCTCTGTGCAAAGAATGTTGTCTGCCTTAAGACCTCATTCCCACCTACACAGGGATTCCCCATGGTTTCCCAGGGGCCCATGATCGACTCTGCTGCATGGGCAAGTGCCCTGTTTGGGGCCCAACCTGTACAACCTGATGTTACCATGTAGTAAGTTCCATCATACTTGAATATGGCAGGGGCTTCTCTATGTTTTCCCACCAGAATCCTTCTCATTATATGGGTGACATCAAAATAATCATCAGTGAGGGGCCCAATGTGAAGTTCACTGTTATCCTCTGAGGAGTAGACAAGGTAAGCCACACCATCATCATCTTTGAAGATCGTCATGTCCCTGCTATCAAAACCATGGGGCTGCATGCTGTAAAGGTACTCAAAAGGGCCTATKGGAGAATTGCTAACAGCTACACCCACGGATGCTTTGGTGTAGTTGACATCATCAATATGCATCCACATTACATACTTTCCTGTCTTTTCATTGTATATCACCTTTGGCCTCTCAAGAACATTGGATTTATGAAGGTCGTGTGTCTCATTTTGTTCTTCTCCTGCCAGCACAATACCCTCATATTTCCATGTCCATAGGTCCTTGGAAGAGTAGCAACTTACTCCAATTATATCAACCTGATGGATAAAATGGGAGGCTATTTAACATCTGAAAATGAATTATCAGGAAAAAGGGGTGAAATAAACATAAAAATAATAAACAATAGCTAGAAATCATATTGCAGTATTTTTCAATTTCCTTTTTCACTGATGATGCAAGATTCTGTTTTATATAGACAGTATATCCTATTCTTGATTCCATTAGCTGCATGATACATTATATGAACTATTTTTAAAAGTTGGAATATAAGTGTTGGGCACATTTGGATCCTTAGTTTAGATCATCATGGTGATGGTTGTTAATTGGGTTTCAACAAGAGATGAGTTTAAAGGTCCTATGGATTCTCTCTCTCTCTCTCTCTGAAGCCCTTAGGCTCATTGATGTCACATAATAGAAACTAAGGCATTGGCTTTATAGGACAACCAGCTCCTTCAAATAGGTGTCTGGACCTGCCAACAAGCTTGCTTTTGGGGGAGACCCAAGGCATTTGCTTTTTCTGTATTTATGGGGTGCCAATATCAATTATGAATGGCACAGAGATTTCATTGATGATGAAATGAACATAAAGAAGATCCCTGCCTCTGGAAAAGTTCATTGGATGAAGGATGCTATGACAGCAAGTGCTGTGATCCATAGTTAAAGAAAAATACAACTATATATTAGATCTTAAGCCTGGTAGGCATAATATCTCCCATACTTGATAAAGATTAACCATGAAAACCTTGTTCGCAGAGGCCACCAAGAGTGGGAAAAGCCATGTTGAAGGGAAGGGATGATACAGCATGTCTCATGTTAAGGCTTACTTCATTTTTCTAGGTGTGATGGAGACAATGTACACATCAAAACAGAGGAATTACACAAATATGGGCTGCTGAGGAAAAAAACATGTTGAGCCTGGTTGGATAATGTTTAGGAATAGAGATATGGTAAAGATATAGTTGTACACAGGCTGTAACAGCATGAAAAAAAAAAAAAAAGAAGAAATCAGGGGCAGTTGAATAGATTATAAATCTGGGAACAGCAAATAAAGACAGGGAAATAGAAGACAATAGGCTAGAGAAATACGCTGCAATAGGAAACATTAATAAAAAATAACTCGATCTTAAGAGATCGTCTTATCCAATATTAGCTTGCTGAATCTTAGCCTACAAATAAAGGAAGCCTCTAACCTAAATCAAACAAGACAAGTGGACCTAACCTTTTTTTAACATATTGGTAAAGACATTAAAGTAGACTATGAATCTTTTTTTTATCAGTAAAAAGAATTTCATTAAGGTAAGAAATTATAAATTACAGATTATGAGTAGCCTCGGCCACCCCACTAAATTATCAAACACTGATCCCTGTTTGCCCCTTGTTTTGCTAGCTGGTCTGCAAATCCATTTGCCACTCTTGGAGTCCACTCAAATGATAGCTGCAAGTCCTTGAAGAGGCTTTTAATCTTCTTGATATCATTTCTATGCAGCCAGGGTATTTTTTTCAGTTTGCTTTAGCCAGCTTATCACTACTTTGGAGTCGCATTCCACAAGCTTTCACACCCCCATCTCCTTAGCTTTTTGGATCCCAAATACCACTGCCTTTAGTTCAGCTGTAGTGGAATCACCCATACCAATAGGGCCTGAGAACAGCCCCACTACAATTCCTTTGTCATCTCTAAATACTCCTCCAATTCCAGATCTTCCTGGGTTGCCAAGGCTGCTTCCATCGAAGTTCAGTTTGACGAATCCTGATTCAGGGGGGTCCCATTCCTTTAAGACCTTCTTCTTAACAGTTGAAGATGAAGCAACCTCCCTCCAGTTCCTAATTATGTCATTCATTGTAAAGTCTGAAAATAACTTCAGTGACTTTACCCATGATGTTACCTATACAGCTTTACCATAATCCTTTCCATTACTTCTTCCTTGCATCTTTTCTTTTCTTCAAAAATTCTCAAGTTTCTTTCCCCCCACAATACCCAAATTACTGCTGCCCTTGTGCATCTCCATAGTGCTCTCCCTCTTCTTTTTGGCCACCTGAAAGTAGAAGAGTCAAAATGCTTTTCCAAGTTTATCGGAGTATCCCACCTGCATCCAAAAAGATGGAAGAACCAATCCCAAATACTGCTAGCAAAAGGACAGGAGACAAGGATATGATAAGCAATCTCACCATTCGTCTCACATAAACAGCACCAATTAGGTGATAGGCACCAGCCAGGCCTCTTCCTCTGCATCAGATCACAGGTGTTGATTGCACCATGATAGACCTCCCAACAGAAAGCACCCACTTTGTGAGGAATAGGGTGACACCACTTCTTTTACAGGGAAAGGTACCCCAGGTTGAGCAGGATAGGACAAGGACTTGAAGAAGGAAGCACAGCTAAAGACTCCAGAGGGGTCTTGTTTAGAATTGTCTTGAAACATCCCTTCAAGCAGCTGAAGCAAAGAAGACAAAGAACCCATCTCGGAATCCCTCACATCTGTGCGAAGACCCAGATTCCAAGCAAAACCAGACAGGGAGGGAGAAGAGGTGATGAAATTAGCAACCGGCTTGCCTTTGAAGGAGGAGAGGGCAAAGATTGAAGGGAACAAGGTTTTTAAGGACTGCTTGCCCACCCCAACATCTTCCCAAAAATTGATTTTATTACCTGAGTTGAGATCAAATTTGACAAGGTTAAGAAGCAATGGGAGAAATTTGTGAATCGCTTTCCAAGGTGAGAAGCTAGATGCCCTACGAGAAACTCCAGCATCCCAACCATTCTCAGAGAGCCCATGTATACTAGATACCACTTTATGCCAAAGCCTAACTGTCTCATGCGGGAATCTCCATAACCAGTTCCCTAATAAAGCCTCATTCCTTTCCTTCAACTTCCCTAGTCCTAAACCTCCGAGCTCCTTTCTTCTAGTCACCACTTCCCACCTGACCAAGTAGACTATGAATCTCCTATGAATCTAGGAGAGTTTCATTATCTCCTAAATTATGGATTAAATGAACACCTAAAACCAAACCCAATAATAAAGGAAAAAAACAGACATCCAAATATTGAAAAATTCTAGGAGAGTTTCATTATCTCCTAAAATATTTGATATGTTAGGAGATTTTCCTCATCCGAAAGTCTTGTTTGGGCTTCCATGGAGGGTGACCAATTTTGTGTGGGGCCCCTACTATAATAAAAAAAAAATTAAAAAAAAACTCAAACTTAACATTATTTTCCCCAGAGCTTTCTGCATTTTCCACCTCAAATTTTGACTTCTTGCATCTACGACTTTCTTTTCAAGTTCAAAAAACTCAATCCTGAGTTTTTAATAAATCTAATAAAGCTGAGACTGTCAAGTGGGTAGTAGGTTCATTGCAACCAAAAACTGAAGGGACCTTGGTGCATTATATCCCTGTTTAGAGAAGTATTAGCTTTATCTTCCAACCTAGTCTGCTTGTTCAGCAAGATTCCCAGGTCTGCCAACAGCTTAGCAAATAATCTTAAGCAAGGATGGGAGTCAACAAGAGTGAATTTAAAATGAGAAATGCCAGGGCCACTGAAAATATCTAACTGTTTGTAAATTCTCTTGTGTGGATATTGTCAACCACTGGTATCGTATTTACTGTCCTATTCTTCCAAGTTGATTGGAAAGTAGTGTTTCTACTCTTTATTATTTAATGAAATGTACAATTACTGGTCAAAAAATAAAAAATGAAACTAAGATCAAGATCATTTTCTGGACAACAACATACTAAACCTTCTATTTGGCTTCTGGCACAAACATCACCATGTTTACATGTTGATGGTCCACTTGATCTACAGTAGGTTCATTAATTGACTGGTCTGTGACCGTGTTAATCAAATACAACCACCTTCCTCGCCTGGGCGGTGAGGTGGGGCACCATAGAGTCACCTCAATCCACTGAATTAAAGCAAGGTCATCAAGAGTTGTATAGCCTTCAAGCAATTAACTGCAGGATAAACTTTTCAACATTCCATATTAAAGATACAGTAATTTTTTTCAGATAATTTATCTGTAATAAATTTTCAAAATTCTATCAACAAGATTATAGAACTAGAAATGGAACAATTCATCTTGGTCCAGTTTTATTTAACTTCTCCAGATGGAATCATGTTGAGTAGTTAGGTTGATGGGGATCGGTCCAAGCATTATAAGACCTATTCTCGCAAGAAGAAGGCCAACAAATAGGTTCTGATTTGGCATGGGGAAGACTCTTGGGACTTGGACTGAGCTGGTCAGGGGTATTTTCGTCATTTTAACTAGTCCTGTGTGGGCCTGGGCTATAACATCTTGTTCCTCTAATTTAGTAGGGCTTGTCTTTCAATTTTCAGTTTATTTGCATTAGTAGATAGAAAGTTATTGTGTTTCTTGATGCACAAGACAAGGAGTGGCATTTTTGTAATTATGGTAAACAGAATTCCGGGCCACACAAGTCACTTTATAAATAGATGTATTCTCTTCCTTCTGAAGCGAATGAATGAATGAAGATTTCTTTAGAGCTCCTTTTCTTTATGGAGTGATTCTAGGACCCATTGGAGTGATTCCTTGGGATTTCTCTCTCTTTTCTCTTTCTCTACCCCTTCTCCTCTCTCTCTCTCTCTCTCTCTTTCTGTCTTGTGTTAGTTTGTTCCAGCCCTACTGCATCATAGGTTCAGGTCAGTTCTTGTCCCTGTTGATATGTATATAGATAGATAAAGATCTAACTTACCTTACAGCCTAGCCCTGTTGTCAGTTGGTTACCGATTTCATCTCCACTCCAGAGAGCTTCCTACTTATAACAGTTCTTCTTGATCTGCCTAGAAGCAGCTAATCTTTAAGCCGATCATCTCAATGTGGACCAACTAGATTAAATAATTGCCATGCCTACCAGATCTAGTTATGCAGTGATGACACCATTGTGGACAAGGCGTAATGATGGCCCCAGGTTCCATCATTATAATCCACTTACCATTTTTTTTATCAGTAACAATGCATCTACTATTACACCATTATCCTTATAAACATGAAGGAGCCATTACAGAGCACTCTTTGTCAGCACATCAAGTAATGGCCCACCCTCAGATTCAAACCTGTGCTCTCCTGCTTAGCCCGAGATTTTACCATTGCACCAAGTAATGGCCCCTTGATGTTTGTAACAACAAAATGGGTACTCTTACAACTATCAATCCAAATCCATAACTCCTTGATGTGCCTCCATTGGTTGATTGCAAGTTCACAACAAACCAACCTTTCACGTTAGTTGAAAGATCCTCTGACAAATAACAAAAGGGCAGCCCAATGCACGAGGCTCTGCCAATGCGGGGTCTAGGGAGGGTCAGATATATGCAGCCTTACCCCTGCACATACAGAGGCTATTTCCAAGATTTGAACCCTGGTCACCTAGGTTGCAATGGAGCAACCCAACCGTTGCACCAAGGCCCATCCTCTGACAAATGCCAGAATAAAATAATTCACTGTCTATCATGGCAATAGAGATATGATATGTGAATCACCACCTTTTTTTGTGAGAAGATAATACTCTGATTGTACAGCCTTGTTTGTGAGTCTACACCTTTGAATTCAATTTTTCTGTTATGTTAAGCATTTCCTTTTTTTTTTCTTTTCCTCTTTTTCTATCTAACTCTAAAATCCATATATTCATCCTCTATCTGTTATGCTATCATTAAACTCAGTCCTTCTGCTTTAGCAATAAGGAAATTGAGATGCAATTCAACCAAGGATGATTATTCTTGTTGTATTAGAAATTTCTTTTTCTTCAATCTAGGTATCTAACTATTAAGATTATATATTTTGTGTATGTTATGATTGGACACAATCTTTCTACAAAATTCCATTCTACGCTGAGTGAAGAGGAATGCTAATCCTATTCACAATAGTATGATTATCATTCCTCTTTAGGTGAAAGCATGACTTTCTGTTTTTACCATTTCAAGACTTGTTAGATGATAGAAAAGATTCTTTACCAGTCACTCTAAGTACTTTTTTATAAGAGGGGTCTACTACTCAAATGCATTTCCAGGCTGAGAAGAGAGAAGCTGATATCGGGACACATGGACTATCTATTAGTTGGTTTCCAACTCCTGGATTGTAAGAGTAGTTAATTGAATCATGCCTTGGAAGAAGAAACTTTCTTTCATAAATAGCTGAACAAACTTCTCTTCTCTTTTCCGACTACAAATATTGGTTCAGATCCTAGTAAAGGAAAAAGGTGGCCATTAATTGAATGCAATGGAAGTAGAACAAGGGAAGCTACATATGTTTCTCTCTCTCTAGCCATTCCTTAAAAAAGGAAGGGGTTTTCTTCATTGGTGAAGGGATTACATCAAATACATCATATAATAGTCTTATGAACCAGGGCTGGGCATCCTACCTATTTTTTCTATCTTTTTTGAGAGAAGGTAAAGTATAGTATATTAGAGAATAGAGATAAAAAGTGGCATGTACAGCAAGAAGATACACAGGGACTATACAAAAGTTGCCCTTGCAGCACTATACCCCTCCATACCCTGCTTTACAAAAAAAGATTCATGTACAAAAAAAAAAGGAATTATAGCCTATATAAACCAAGAAAACATTTTTCCCAAAATCTTCTGGAACAGTGAATTCACTGAACTGCTCTTATTTTCAAAACATCATTGCATTTCTTTCCTGCCAAGTGCACCAAAAAACTACCACAGGAACCACATTCCAAGCAAGCTTCCCTTTATTGCTTAAACCTTCTACCTTCCAGCCCATCAGAAAATCCACCACTGAACCAGGACAGCAGCTCTTCACATCAAATAGATTCCAGACTTTGACCCAAACTTCATAGAACTTGCAATGTAGCAATAGATGATCAGCTGATTTGTCCCTCGTAAGGATTATGTTCAGATGACTGATTGTTCATCTGAACTTTTCAAGGCACTGTAAAATGATTTCACAGTGAAGTTTCCTGCTCTTTCCCACTGCCATATTCTTTTATCAGGGCTTCCAGCTTCCACTTGCATGCTATACAACAAATGTAGGATTTCTATCTTTCGGGCAGAAAGGAAAGAGAAACCATCCATTCCAACCTCTGTTTCATAGCTTTTATCTTGAGGTGTAGACATCTCTGATCTTCCTGGTGAATCTATTTTTTCAAGTCCTGGAGGTGGACTAAGGAGGCCTAGTCATTAAAGGAAGCAATTCAATCCATAGCAAGATGGCTGACCCATTTGATTGGCTGAAGTGAACGTACCAGTCCGGAAAGATCAGTTAGAAGGCCCATAGTTGTGACCTATCTAAGAGCATTTCATTTCTTGTTTCCAGCATTTTATGGTCATAGATGACTGAGGCCTAGAACTGTTCCCAAAACCATCTTACCTTATAAATCCCATGCTTACAACCTCATCATCTCACTGCCCAAAGCAGTCTCCCCGCCCCCCTGACAAATAACCAGAAGAATTATGGCTCCTGGGCCACTCAGCATTTCTTTCAGGATGTATAGCATGCAAGAAGAAAGCTAAAGTTATGTCTAAATCTCGTTGGCTCTAGATTTTTAGACCATTCTTTCATCTGCATTTATCCTCCAGGAGCTCCACCAACTATTAGTAGTATCGCACATATCTTTTATCTGTTCCCATGATGGAATTCATTGTTGTCGTCAGAAGATATTTATCTGGTGATATTGTTCAGAGTTTATGCTTTCAGACAGGATTCTCAGTAGCATCCTAGTATATGCAGTTGTAAATCATTACATCACAACTCACAAGTTTATATAGGAAGTAGGTGGTTTCTTATCATTGAACCTTCATTTGACTTCATTTCTAACCCTATCCTTTCTAGTTTTACCACTCATCCATCTAAGCATTTGCATTTCTACCACACTCATTTTTTTGGACATGCTTCTTAATTGCATAACATTTTGTTCCGTACAACATAGCTGGCCTTACAACTGTTTTATAGGATTTTCCCTTTAGCAGCAGTGGTATTCATCTGTCACATAGACTCTGGGTGCACCCTTCCAATTTGCCCATCCTGCTCTAATTTATGGGCAACTTCCTCGTCATCCTCTCCTTTGCTACGAGGAATTTGCTATTGGTAACAATCATATAATTATCACAGAACAGTAACTTAGGTAGTCCACAACATCTAAATAGCTGAAAAGGTTACTACTACCATTATATGCATAACTTGTCATAAGCTACTTAATCACAGCCTCATCTATCATGTAAAAACAAAGTAGCTCAGTTCATAGCTGGAAAGTACATGCCATAGAATTGAAATCACAGGGACAAATAACTAGCATAGCAAGTAACAGTTTCCAGTTTCTGATTATATATATATACAGACAGAGAGAGAAAGAGAGAGAGAGAGAGATTCAAATTACCCGGGCAGCTCCTTTTTTGTGAGCATGGTAAGTGGGGCCATCCTTGTTTTCACCATACCAATAGTAGGTCCCAGATTTCTCAACATATAAAATCCCTCCTCCATGGGCTTGAATTGGATTTCCATCTGTGTCCAGCCATATCCTCCCTGGGTAGAAATAGTGGTTGTCATCCTCTACTTCCTTCCTTGGGTCCATAGCAGTTCTCTTATCAGGGAAAAACAAGTGCTTGAATTGAGAAGATTCATCGAGAAATTCTTCAATTAGACTTGTGGCCCTCTTCGGCCTCCGTTTTACAGCACGTGGGGATCGTTTGCCCCTTGGCGGCGGAATCTGGAAATCATTGTCTTCTTCCACCTCTTCAAGTTCTCGGCTCAGTTGGAGGTGATTCAACCGCTCCTGGATATCTCGTTCATTACCGTCACTTTGATGAACAAGGGAGTATAAATGAAGTATAAGAATGCATCCCACGAGACTCCACACGACAGCAGATAATGTGCATCTGCTTCCTGCATTGCAATGTAAAGTGGTTGGTTTTCTTTGTTTGTTCCTCATCCTCATTTTTCTCCCCTTTTTTCTACGTCCAAGATAATGCTGCAGTTAAGAAATTACGACCTATGTAGAACCAATACAGTTTATCAAAACTAAGCTAAAGAACCCAATATTCTATCCTTTCAAGAAAAAAGAACCAACAACAACAACAACAAAATAATAGTAACAATTAACAATAACAATAACAATAATAATAATAAGTAGGGAGAGCCGGAGAGGGGGTGAAAGCATAATGCTTTCGTCCTTTTAGGTTTATAAACAAACATTTGAGACTCAAAAAGTATAGGCATTATAAAGTATAAAGTACTACTTTTTACATGGAAAATTGGGAATGGAACCCATCTCCGATCAATTATTTTCCCGTAAATTAATGATCGTCCAAATTAACTGATGGTCCCTAGTAACCCGACAATCTTACTAATGGAAATTTCCAGAATTTACCTCTTTTTGGCTTTTTTTAATAAACGGATGAACGATCTAAACATGAAACTAGTCATCATAGACCATTAGGAATAAGGAACTTCTAAAAAATTAAGAAATAATTAATTAATTAAAATTAAATCGAACGCTAAAAACAAACCAAATCAACAAAAGCCGAAATCAAGGTTCGAAGACAACGACCAGAGACCTTCAGAGCTTATACCAATACATAGATCCATTAGAGATACTACTACAATCAGTTCAATCGAAAAACAGAAGACGACGACGAAAGTAGAAATACAACAGCAAAATACGACTCTAAAGCAGTTCCAAATAGAAGCATCATCACCGCCACGAACAAGAGAAACCAAGTTAAAGTTAAACAGCTTACCTGACAAGACCCTGGTCATGAGTGGGGTGAAATTTCCAGACCTCATGTCTGAGTCCAAAACCCAAGCAATTCTTCCTTCATCTTACCTACTCTTGCCTTCCTCGGACACCCACCTCACCTCCGATGAAGTACCGAAGAACCTTCCAATCTTCTTTTTATTTTTCCGATTTCATATATACAGAGATGGCTGTACAAGAAGGCCACAGAGAGCAGAGAAAGAGGAGCGGTCGGCTTGCTGGTTAATGGTAACCTCGGTTTAGTATTATTGGTTTCGGTTGGATCTGGGATTGGGGAATGATGACTTCCAACCAACGATTCCGCGTGTCTAAAATCAATGCGAGGCGTCTCCTAAAGATTTGAGAGCTGTAATCGTTGTTTTTCTTCCCTTAATTTCTCTAGATTCTGGAACCTAACAAAGTGGGAAAAAAAATAAATGGGAGCTAGTGAAAATCGCTTTTTATAGTCGCGAGAATACCACTCTCTTCTCTGTGGTGTCCTTTTATAATCTAAAATGACATAAATAAACCCCAACACTTCCATTTTAACAGTTGACGCCACGCAAGATTACCAGTCAAATCTCAACTATCAAGTGGCGACTGCAAAAGTGACTTGACTGTGTACTAATCAAGTATAAACAGAAGTAACACCAATCGAATTCTGAACCGTTGGATTCAAAAGGCGTTGACTACTTTTAGCAGCAAGATGAGGATGCCATTCATTGCTATTTGCCAGAATGAATCCGAGGGTGCGGCCCTGCGGGTGTTGTTCCGTGGTATCACAAATTGGGCACGCTTTATCTTTGCCCAAGGGAAAATTTCGGATTACACTTTGGGTCTAGTGCCATTTTGGTCCCCTTTAAAACGTGTCAATTCATTACTTGATGTTAATCGGTTGTTAATCAGCCGTTAAGTAGCATTTGAAAAAAATACAAATGTCCTTCTAATTTTCTTAATTCTTACCTCTTTTATTAAAGAAAGTTGGAGTCTATTAATATTTGTTAAGGTTGTTTTGGTTTGAAGGAAAAATTGTATAGGTTTTTTTACATTTTCCCTATTTTTTCCTTCAAACCAAGCATATCCTAACATTCTTGAATAGAAAATGCAAGGATTTGAGACAGTTAATTTTTTGTCAACATTTGAGTGGTTGATAAAGAAAATTAGATGACATTTGAAGGGCATTTGTGTCTTTTTTTCAAATATCACTTAATGACCGATTAACAATTGGTTAACAACAGGTATTGAATTGACACATTTTAAAAGTTTAGATACTGAATTGTCATATTTTAAAATTCAGGGACCAAAATGTCACTAGCTCAAATTATAAGATACTAATCAATAATTTTCCAAAAGATAAATCCATGGATTTCAAAATCCAACTGATATATGCTACCCACACCCTATCCATGGATTTCAAAATCCATGAGTTCACATCTGCGCCCCATGGGGATGTGCTGTGGCCTGTGGGGCATTGTGGGGCGCAGATGTGAACTCCATTAGGCGAGTTCAGATGTCGCCCCCAGAGCGCACCCCACACCACATCACCCGTAATGTGGGAATTCCAAGTTGGACCCCGAAATTTGTTTGCAAGAAAGATCCTTTTTCAAATATTTGCCCGTGATTCGTTGAGGGTGAAAGTAATTTAGGCTGTTTGGTTGGAGTGCAATTTTATTTGTATTAGCACAAATGTATAGGAGTGCAAATAAAAGAATGCAAATTTTTGTTTAATTTTATTTTGGGTTTTACTTTATTCTACTTTATATTTTAATTTATTTCATTTGTACTGCAATCAAATAAAATAAGCTAAAATTTGAAATAAAAATATATTAGAATCTATACTCAAATCATTTGCACTGCTCGGTTCAGTTTGGAAGGAATACATACAAAATAATACAAAATGCAAGGTTTTGCACTGTATATATTTATATTTATACTCCTTCCAAACTGTATCTTATGACTTGATAGCAACAAATATCAAAATAATGATGAAAATAACCAATTTAAGGTGCATATCATTCACAAAGTAATGGTGAATCGATCATTATCAAGGTGCTATCACAATAAAAAGAAACTAAAAAAATAAGGAAAATATGATATTATGATTTATAAAAAATAAAAGGGCAAAATGGTTTCATAAAAGAACATGGGATAGTTTGAGGTTCTAAAAATGTTTAAAGAAATATTTCATAACTAAAAAATATTAATAGTGGGAAAAAATGCTGGGATCTGTTGTTGCAAAACAAAGTTTGAGGAGCTAATGCCATCACTAGCCCTAATTATAGGGTGGCTAATGTAATTTACACCCTCTAGATAAAAATAAAGCATGATTATTACATATTACCTTCAAATGATGTGATGATTTATTTATGTATTATTTTTAATGGAGCACTCAAAAGGATGGGTATAACTTTTTCAGCTATCATTTTTAGGGGTCCAAGTCAAGTAATCAAGTATGTTGGATAGGAATAGGATTTATGGTCAACTAGGTCCAATCCCAAAATTTCAAAATGAGCCCCAAGTTCAAGCCTGACCCTACCGCACTTAGATTGAGCTGTAGTTGGGATAAGATTAGGTTACTCACGAGATAGGCTTTAAGAGTTAAGCTTGGATCCATCCCGAAAAATAAAAGGCATGAAGTCTTAGGTCCAAGGATTGAAAACCCAAGCCCATGTAAAATTGTGGGCTGGATTGGTTTGGGCTCAAGTTGGGCCCACCAAGTTACACCGTTAATACTCATGAGTAGACCTGTTTATGGGCTGGGTAGCCCAATGAGCCGAGTTGGCTTGGCTTGGTCTGGCCCGTTTTGAGTCGGGCTTGGTCATTTTAGGCCCGTTGGCTCAGGCTCGACTTTTTCTTGGCCAGGCTTGGGCTTTCTCAAGAAAGCCTGGCCCAAACCCAAGCCCGACTTGATACTATGTATTAAATAATAATAATATATATACAATATTATTTCTTTGTTATTCTTCTCTTTTTTTTTTCAAGTAATGGTTATGTTTATTATTTTTGAGTTTTGAAGGTTTTTGATATAAATAAAACACTTTTTTATTGAATAAAAAAATATGCTTTCAAATTTCTAGTCGGACTCGGGCTCGAGCTTTATATGAGGATCGGACTCAAACTCAAGACCTAGGCCCGATGGTTGGGCCAGGCTCGGGCTCAGGCTCAAGCCTGAATGTATTTTGTTGATACATAGACAAGGCCTGGCCCAGCCCATGAACATGTCTACTTGTGAGTTGTAAAAATCTTCAATCACAATAGGCCACTTGACAATGGTTGAAAGGAATGGCAACGGGGCGGGACGGGGAGCCTCTCCCCATCCCTGTCCCTACAAAAATCCCCGCCCCAGCTAACGGGGACAAGGTTATCCCCATCCCTACAAGGATCTCCATCCCCGCAAGGACCCCCATTTCTCGTGATTTTTTATAATGTTAACCATTTTATTTTTATTTGTTATTTTATTTAAAAAATAAAAATAAAATAATTAAAATTTACAATCCTATTAGAAAAGATTCAAACATATTCAACCATATTTTTAAAAATATTAATATGTAGATGTATGTCTACGTATATGCATATAATGTATGCATACATATATACATATATATTAGTAGGGATCCCACAGGGTGAGGATCGGGGTCCCTGCAAGGCGGGGAGTGCTCTCCCCGTCCCCGCCCCATCTTTGCTAACGGGGATGAAAACTTCCCCATCCCCTCCCCAATCAGGGCAGATCCCCACGAGGATCGGTGAAATGGGGAAAATTGCCATCCCTAGGTTGAAGTGGTTGAATTTAATTTATTGATTTTGTTTTTTTTTTAATGGATAGAATATTTAAACCAGCCATGTTGTCTAACACCCCCAAGTAGGGGTTTCAATTGGACTAGATATGGTCCAATCCAATCTGGTCTAATATGAGTCCATTATAGATGGACCATGTCCAGTCCAATTCGATAAATATTCTAGACCATTTTGGACCGATTTAAATCAAATTTTGGTTTAGACTGATCCAACCAAAATTTGGTTTCAATTTAGATCGGTTCCGACCAAAATTTGGTCCATTGACACCTGTATTTTTATGTTATATCAATGGACTGAATGTTGCTTCAATCCGACCAAAAACCAATATAAATCCATTATGATGGACCATGTCCAATCCAATCCAATAAACACTTCGGACCATTAAGTTTGGACCGGTCCAGTTCAATATGTCATATTGGTCCATCCAACCCATCCAAGTTGGTTTTGATTTGGATAGGGTCCAACCCAAAACTGGCATTGACACACCTACCCCCAAGTAGTTCAAACATATTTATAAACTTATCCAGTAAGAGACAAAGTAATAAGTTATTCAGTTCAGCCATTTTGGTTGTTAATCATTGGATGTCAAAGTAATATTCATATAGAGAGTGACAAAGCCCTTTTTTTTCATTATTGTAATTTAAAGTTTTAAACCCCCACCCAAAATAAATAAATAAAAGATCTATATCTATACTATTATTGAAGTGTAAATGAGAATGTGGAATTTCTTATTTGACTAAAATACCCCAAATTTCAAATTTGGCCCCTCTCTAATTACAAGGACACAAATGTAATTTGAACAACTACTTTTCTCGCATTAAGTTTTATTTAAGGTATTAACTCCCATTGTTATTCATTGAATCCTATTACTAGCTAGAATACATTTTTTTTTAATTTGGTCCCTTTGTAATTGTGAGGGCACAAAATGTATTTTTAACTACTACATTTCTCCTCGTTAGATCTTATATTAAGGGCATTAACTTTCATTCTTCTCATTGAATCATATATTTAAGCTACGTTTCTTCACCAATAAATTATATCAATTAGACCTATATCTAATATACTTTTAATAATACAAAACACATGTTTTAAAAATTGATCCAATAATGGAACCATTATTTCATATGTGTGGCAAGTAAGCAATTCAACCATAAGTGTCAAAATGGGTCAATTTATGATGTCACAATTAAATAAAAAAACATCTAAAATGGAAATATGGAAATAAATACAAAAAATAAAATATATAAAAAATTGTGACATTCTAATGTTTTATATTAATCATGTTAAAGAAAAGTGGGTGTGATAAATTATAACCAAGCTTATTAATTTGGGAATGAAATATAAATTTAAAACCAATATGCGGTGGCAGATCAACAATTAAAACTCTCGAGTCAAATGTGTCAAGCTTTGGTATCATAATTAAATAAGAATTAAAAAGATAAAAACACAAAAACATTATGTAACATAAAAAACTTAAAAAAAAAACATCTAGGCACTTATATAATATTTTGTATTAATCCTATTAAATAAAAACAAGTGTGATAAATAATATTTGTTTTTATTGATATTGGAAATAAAATATAAAATTTAAACCGACCCAAAAATGAAATTGTTTTCCTCATAGTGAGTCAACAATTCAGCCTTTCGAGTT